AGCCTAGTGAACATAATGTTCTTCATGTAATTGTAGATTAATGATACCAAAATAAAAAATAAATAAATAAAATAAATAAATAAAAAATAAAAAAAAGGTCCCTGCTACTAAAATTGTCCCAGAGTTCAACACTGGATGAGGCTGTGATGGGGTTGGGGGGGTTATGTGGACAGATACCTGTGCAGGGTGTTGTGGGGACATTCACTGACCCCTCACCGGGAAAGCACAGTGATTGCCTCCTGAGTCCCCAGTGTCACCACAGATGTAAAGAGGTAGCAAAACTGGAAGGGACAAAACCATTTGGCCTGAACCCATTTAGCAATACAGAGAACTCCACAAGCTATTTGATGCAAAGAATGATGTCTTTCCACTTTGTAAAAAGAAATCTCGGAAGAAAAATCTGTCTTGGCCAAACCCGCATTCAGCACTTGTCATAAGCAACTGCTGTGTAAGGGAGAGGCTCGGCTCACTGCCCTGGGGAGCAGGGGAACCTGTGTCCTCTGCTCTTGTCTGTTGGGCCACGTCACCGTGGCCATGACCTTGTCCCCACATAGTGCTCCCCATCTCAAGGAACAGGGGACGGGCACAAGGGGCACTCCCCAGCTTCAGCCTTGTGTGAGGGCTTTCAGAGATGTTTCGGAAGCAGAAAAGGTTTCATTTACCCGGGAGAGCGCTAATGGCCGCATCCTGTTAGCCTGGCTTCCTCCACCCAAGCTGGCAGCTGCGGTGGCATCTCAGGGTCACAAAGCTCCTCTCCATGCAAGCTCGTGGCTCCCAAGCCCTGCAGGAAGCCTTGGTGCCCCACAGCTTGCTCACAGGACTGCTGTGGCCTATTTAAAATTTCAACAAAAACCCAGTGATGGCCTGGACTCTGCCCTACACCCCATGGGCCAGTGGCTTGAGACAGTTCACTATTTCAACTGTAGACTGTGTTATGTCCCCTCAGATGATGTCATTTCTTTATGGTGGTGGCTTTTTAGATGTTTGCCTGATAAAAATCAAATGTCGCAGGAAATTTAATGTCAAACAGGAAATAAAGATGATGGTGTCAAAAATCTGATTCCAAATTTGAGCAGCTGTGCTATGTCCAGGAGGTTAGGTTCTGTGGTTATCTAAGAATGAAATAAAAACACTACTACTTCCAGTTTCTGTGTGTTTTTTAAATCACTACAAAGTTGTTAGAACGCAAATGCTCATCAAGTTCTTTAAGCCTAAGTACTCCATAGAAGGAGGTGTTAAGTTAGTCTGCTGGCCCACAGAGATCCAAAGAGCTCCTGGAATTGAGATGTTCAAGAATGTCTGGTATAAACCTCACCAAAGTGGTGGTGATGTTCCACAAGAAGGTTAAATCTTTGCTTTTAGTAGAAAATTATCTATTGTCTGTGGAACCCTTGGAGCAACCCTAAAGAGCCCTGTGCTTCCTCAGCGAAAGGTATTCAAAACTAACAAACAACATGAATTTTTCTACACCCTGGATAGAACACATCAACCTCACTCAGCCCAGGGGTGTGACAGCAGGTCAGGGCAGAGCGTCAGGAATACCCTGGGCTCTCTGGGAAGAGCGGTCTGCCGGAAAGCACTGGCCCACGGGGTCCTCTCCTGTCCCCTCCTGTCCAGCCCTCTAACAGCACAGCTGTGCGGTGCTCAGCCTTGAGAAGAACCTGCATGTCCCAGCCCTTGCAGGGGGGTGGCAGGTGATGTGGAGGCACCGCAGTGGCCACACTCATAGCCTTGAGACTAGAACTCAGGAGGGCAGAGCACAAATGCGAGGACCCTGGAACACTGGAAGCACCTGGAGCCTCCGAACAATCCCTGGGTTGCCTAGTTCAGATAGTAACTTTATAAGCTTGAAAAAAGAGCCCCCATCTTCATTAAGCCACTGTCATTTTAGTGCTCTCCAACTTGCAGCCAGTTTCTAAGGGCTATGAGTTGGTCTCCACAAGGAATGGAAGAGAGGCAACATGGTCGGGACTGACTCTTGTTTGTAATAAATACTCATATCATCAAACTTTAATACATCAATTATTAAATGTATCACATCCAAAACTCTGTGATCTACTTCAGTCACAGTATAAATGGTGAAAATGCTAGCTATCACCAATATGTCAAATATATTTTCATGTATGTTAGCATGTATTGTATATATATTTTAGTGTAGGTTATATATATGTAACACATACGATATATAACATACATATATACAGAATGTGTGATCTACCATGCCTGCAGAGTATTTCTTTTCTTATTGTGTGATAAGGAGTATGGCAGTACGCTAGAGACCATTGCTGATGTTGCAGTGTCAGAAGCTTAGTGGCTTAAAACAACACAGATTTATTCTTTTATGGTTCTAGAGGTCAGAAATCCAGAATGAGCTAAAACTGAGATGTCATCAGGGCTACCTTCTTTCTGGAGATGTTAGGAAGGAAAGGACTTGGCTCAGTGTCACAGGTAAGTTAAACATAGTGAGACAAGAGACCAAAGTCAAGAAAGCAAAGTTTTAATGTACTCTGCAGAGAGTAACAGAGGGGGCCTGCCTAAGATAAGACAGGCAGGCCCAGAAGCTCATTCTGAGGCTTCTTTTATGTGGTTTTGGCAGGGCAGAGAGGTCCTTGATTGACAGCTGTCAGCTCTCGAGGCTTGTTCTGACTGGTGAAATGAGGACAGGGGCTGGGCTGTGCCTGTGCCTCTGATGCTTATCTGGGGGGACCCTGGACATTTCCCGAGTCACTCTTGGACCCTGTGGCTTTATCTAATTAACTCTCTGAGTCATTTCTGGCTTTCTGGTTCTATTTTATTAACTCCCTGAGTCATCTTTGGGGGGGGCCCTTTCTCCTTTCCATCCCACTCATTTCTGTCTTTCTGCCTAACAGAGACTTGGGGAGAGTACATCCCTCACCTGTGCTAGCTTGTGTTCCTTGAGAAGGCTGCCTGCCTTCCTTGTGTAAGAACAAATACAAATTAAAACTAAGAATTTTTAAAAAGAGGCTTACTTCTCCCTGCTGAAAATAAAGAGGTAAGACTTCTCCTCTTCCTTCTTAGAGCATTTATTTCAGAAAACTCGTAAGTGCATCTTTGTCTCTTTGAAGTGTGTATGAACCTTTACAAAAGTTAAATAAACCTCTCGCCAGCTCTGCAGGCCCGGGCTCAAGGACCTGGGAGCCATCTCCTTGAAGCGTGTTCCTCAGGGGTGACAGGCCCCAGTGCCCCGTTTCTGGGGCAGAGTCAGAGCTGAACTTACGCGGGCAGCTTGCACCATGAAGATAAAGGACATTCATTACTCCTTTGGATAAAGCCAATCAGCTAATGCAGCTGGCCACCCCAATCACAGGTGAACTTGGGGTGCACTCTGCGTGACACGGACTGCAAAGGAAATGCACTCATGATACCTTTGAACATTCTGTGACATTGTTATTCTCTTTCTTCTAAAATATATGGGGAGGGGGAACACTCTGAAGCATCAACCCTGAAAAGAATCAAATATCCTTTTTCTGCTTAGAGTCGGGTCATTAACTGTCTGACTTAAGAGGTGCTATCAAGTTCTTTTACTTGAGGACCAGTTACTGTTTACCTTAGGATCATGTGTGTAATGGGTTGCATCTGCTCGGCTACAGGCCAGGGACGTGGCCGGGCTGTGTCAGTGGAAACGCTGAGAGTAATCACTGGGGGTGGTGGTGTAACGTATGGGTAAGTAATTAGTATTGTTGGCTTGGGAGTGGGGTGTCTCTAGATCTCAGCCCCTGCTGAAATGGTGAGATATTAACCAAAGCAGCTTCCAGGCTCCACCAAGGCTCCTGAGCAGCTGTGGCTGGGCGGTGTGGCCACAGGAGGCGCGGCTATCGGGGGCTGGACAGCCTGGTTTAGGTCTGTGTCCCTGTCACTTCTGGGTTATCATTTGTCTGATACTTTCATTTTGTAATAAAATATTATTCTTAATCACCACATTAAATTAAGCACCATGGGTCCGGTGGGCCTCTACTGTGTCCATCCTGCTTCTGCCACAATCTCTGCTGGTGGCATGTGACATGGAAGCAGCGAAGGGAACTCTCACTTAGAGGTGCGGAAGTCGGAAAGAGGACCACTGGGCCTGTCTCTCTGTGCTCTTTCCAGAAGCAGCAGCACTATCTTTACCTAGGCTGTGTGCCCGCTGCCTGGGGCACACTTCTCAGTCTCCCTGCCTGCCTGGTTCATTTGGTCAGGAGGCCATTTAAGAACAAAAACTGGATCACATTCCTCCTCTGCTCAAGAGCCGAGCATGGCTCCCCAGTACCCTGTGGAGAAAATCCAAGCTGCTCTGTCTCCGCTGACCTCCCTGACTCCCCAGTCCAAGGGGCCCCCAGTGCACCTGTAGTACTCTTGACCCCATTTTATTTCAGGAGCTGACCACTCCTGCATGTCTTGACTATTTATTTATTTACTTATTTGTTGCCTATCTTCACTGCCAGCCTCCCCTAGGTGAGGGAACGGACTCTGTCCCAGGGTGGGTGACAGCAGATGCCCCCTCCCCTGCAGCAGACTCTCTGGGATCCCCAGGGGAACAGAGCCCAGGGTCGCCTGCACGACAGCTCACAGACCTGCCCAGCATGGCCCCCTAGAGGCCACACCCGGGGATGCCCCACAGATAAATCCATGGTCCCCCCACCCCCGGCTTGGGCCCAGCTTCGGGGACCCCACACTGTCACACCAGGGAGTGTCTGCTGTCTGTGGCCCAGGAGCAGAAATGCACATCTCGCAGGCCTCACACGTCCTCCTTTCAGATTCTGCCATTTACAAAAGACCTAAGAATAAGGGTCTGGGCACAGAAATGAGGTCAGGAGGCAGGATATAGACAAACTCCAGAACCCATGGGGCTGCCCCTCATCCCACAGAAGGGCTCAGGATCTCAGTTTTGGGCATGGGATTTGGGAATTTGAGGATCTCAGGACCTCGGGTCTGTGATTTTTGAGTTTG